GGGGGGGGGGGGTATTTATAGTTTTGAGAATTGGGAAAAAGTATAATTATAAAAAGTTTGGGGTTAAAACAAAGTTTGGGGGCCAAATGGCTATTTTTTAAAGTGCCAAACGATTGAATTTTGATGGTCAACGGCTAGATTTTAAAAATCTGACCGTTGTTCATTTTTAAAAAAAAAATTTAAAAATAGTCGTTGGAGCCCGTTGGGCCCGGTTGATTAATGGTCCCAGTCTCACGGGCTATTTGGGTTGGACCGGCCCGCTACGGGCTTATGCACCACTAGAGACCGGGTCTGCTTGAACCGGCCTGTTTGGCCCGCGGTCCCGAGCCGAGCCCGGACTACAATACAGCCTTAACTTACATTTAATTTCGAGCAAAATACATGAGCATCTATTAATTCTATGATAAACAGTTAGTCCTTTTTTATTTGGTAAGATATATTATTGAAAACTTTTTATTTAGTAACCGGTGCAAACTTTCTCAAGTTACTCATTGAATGGAGCTTCGAGTTTCAGAATTTAATTTTGCAGCAATGACTCCCAACGCCCAAGTGAGGATGGAAACTGGAAACGATGGCATTGCTATTATCAGTATTTGCAATCCTCCAGTTAATGCATTAACCATTTCAGGTAATTACTTAATATTGTTTTTCCAATATTTTATATGCAATCTTTTAATAATAGTTTTTTTTTCTCAAACTTAGATATGTTGTATTCTCCCAAAAAAATTCTCTCAATAATCTCTTCATTTTATCTGAAATTAATTCAGTGTGAAACTTTATTTGAGGTATGATGACGCTTGCATATGTATGTTACTATGACTAGAAGTTTTATTATAACTCATGACGGCCTTCTTCAATATAACTATATAAATATTCAGTCGCTAAATTAATTCTACTCCATCGGTTCCAAAACTATTTTTCTAAAAAAGCTTTCTCTCTCTAGAATGAATTCTCCTCTCAGGTAACACTGAAATGACGAGAAGAACGAAGAATGGAGGGGGAGGGCAACAACGCATGGTAGAAAACTCCAATAATCAATCGCGAAGAACTGAAATTCCACAGTCAGCAGATGCAAAGAAGACAAGGAACATCAATGAAATCCAAGGAATTATGCCATTAGGTTTCAACCAAGGATCATCAACAATGCCAATTGCACATGCAGAGCACACAATTCAAGTGATGAAGACTCCATTGAATCCGGCAATAACTCCGGTGATTCACTCAGATAGATCCTGGGCGGATAGAGTGGAGGCGGAAATTACGGAGATAAATGCAACAAACAAGGTACAATTGAATACGATAACTAATTCATGGAGTAAAACTGTGGGCATAGCACCAAGTAGTGAAGGCTTAGACCTAAATAGCGAGGTTATAGCAGGGGAAAATGTCAAAATTACGATGGATGATATCAAGGATGAACTCGTGTACTGGAAAACAGTAGTGATATGCTATGTACTGGGATCAAATCCACCGTTGACTGTAATTGATGGATATTTCAGAAGAATATGGGGAGGGTTGGGGATAGATAAAATTGCACAAATAAACAGAGGAGTGTTCCTGATTAGATTTCACACTGTTGAAAGTAGAACTCAAGTCATTGAAGATGGAGTCCAGATGTTTGATAAAAAGCCTATGGTAGTGAAGCCTTGGGAACCGGATGTGGATGTAAGTAAGGAAAATGTAGATAGAATACCAGTGTGGATAAGGCTAAAAGGCTTGGATATCAAGTATTGGGGGAAGAATGCCTTAACAAAAATAGTTGGATTGATTGGGAAGCCATTAAAAGCAGATAGAGCTACTACAAATAAGGAGAGATTAGCATTTGCCAGAGTTCTCGTGGAAGTATCTATAAATCAGCAATACCCTAAGCAGGTTATGTTTGAGAATGAGGTGGGGAGAATAGTGAAGCAAGAGGTGTATTATGAATGGAAGCCAACATTATGTCCAAATTGTAAATATTTTAGGCATGAGTCACAAGAATGTTGGAAACTACATAGAGAAGAAGCAAAAACTAGAAGAAAGCAGCTGGAACAGGGGGAGAAAACTACAGAAGGCCCTATTCAGAACAAGGAGAACACAAGTGATGAAGGCAAAACTAAAGAGAAAGTGTTAGAGAAAGCAACAGAAGGCCCTACTCAGAATAAGGAAAACAAAAGAGATGAAAACAAAGCAAAAGGAAAAGTGGTAGAGAAACAACAGAACAATCCCATGGTTATAGTAACAGGGAATACATTTGAGGTGCTCAACAAAGGTGGAGACATAGAGAAAATGAGGCAGAATAAAGCTAGTTCTTCTAACCCTAAGGGAGAACCAGTGGTGAAGGGGTCAGGACATGGGAGGGGTGGGGAAAGACCCCTGCCCAATGGATAAGTTAAGATTCTGGAATGTAAGGGGACTAAACATACTAGATAAACAGAGAGAAGTACATCTGTTTATGCACAACAGTGGAGCTAGTCTATTTGGTCTCCTAGAAACAAAGATTAAGAGATCTAAAGCTCATAGAGCTTCTCTTAATCTTTGTGAGGGGTGGTCCTTTACAACAAATTTGGCTCAGCATCCTAAGGGAAGGATTTGGTACTGTGGAAACCAAACATTTTTTAGGTAGATATTCAAAAAACTACAGATCAGTTGATTCATAGTACAATCAAGCATAGAGGAACAAGAGAGAATATTAATGTTACCATGATATATGCATACAATGATATAGCTTTAAGAAGAAATTTGTGGAAGGATATAGAAGAAATATACAAGTGAAATAAGGGCCCATGGGCAGTGATTGGGGACTTCAATAATGTGCTAAATACTGATGAAAGGATAGGAAGCAAAGTAACAGTGGCTGAAACAAAGGAGTTCAGACAATGTGTTGATACATGTTGCCTTCAAGAACTTAAATCTACTGGTGCATTCTACATTTGGAACAACAAACAGAGTAGAGAAGATAGAGTAATGAGCAGAATTGATAGAGTACTGGTAAATTTTGAATGGATAACAGTACTACCTGCCTCAACTGTTCACTATATGATTGAGGGGTTGAATGATCATAGCCCAGCTATCATAGTTAGGATAACAGGAAGCAGATGGGGAATAGGCATTTCAAATATTTCAACATGTGGAGTATGGATCCAGATTTCAAAGATAAAGTGGCTGAAAGCTGGAACAAGGAAATTAATGGAACAAAAATGTACCAAATAGTAGGGAAGGTAAACAGATTAAAGAGAGTATTAAAGCAACTAAACAGAACAAAATTCAGCAACATAGAAGGAAAAGAAGAACAAGCTAAGAAGGATTTGGAGGAATGTCAGCAACACACACAACAAAATCCCCTAAACCAAGGTCTTATTGAAAGAGAGCAGCAACTGGCAAGCAGATACAGGAGAAACAAGAAAGCAAGTGACCAGTTCCTGAGGAAGAAAAGTAAAGTACAATGGCTGAAACAAAGTGACAAAAACAACAAGTACTTCCATAGCTACATGAAGGAAAGAAGAAATGCTAATAGGATCTTATCTATCAAGGCTAAGGGAAACAGGGTGACAAATGTGGAAGAGATAGTAGAGGTTTTTGTGGAATTCTATTCAAACTTGCTAGGATCTACTACAGACAAGAGAGAACATGTTTACAGTCCACTGGTAAGGGAAGGCAAGATAGTAACAGAGGGGCAAAGACAATTTCTGACAGAAGAATTCACAGAAAAAGAAGTCAAACAAGCTTTGTGGAAAATAGATGGTGAGAAAGCTCCAGGACCAGATGGGTATAGGAGTAAATTTTTTAAAGATAGTTGGGAAATAACAGGTAAAGCTCTGAAGGAGGCAGCACTGGAATTTTTTGAATCAGGGAAACTGTTGAAAACAATGAACAGAACAGTTTCACAGTAATACCTAAAAGTAATCATGCAGAGACAGTAGGGGATTTCAGGCCTATTGCATGCTGTAATACAATCTATAAGGTCATTTCCAAAATGCTATACAACAGATTGAAGACTATTCTACCAGACATAATTTCAGAAAATCAAATTGCTTTTGTAGCAGGGAGAACAATCATACAGAATATTCTAATATGTCAAGACTTGGTTAGGCTATACAAGAGGAAGGCAGCAACAAAAAGTTGCCTGATTAAAATAGATCTCAAGAAGGCCTATGATTCAATAGAGTGTGAGTTTGTGGAAGAAATGCTACACGCTCTAAACTTCCCTATGAAATTCATTAGGTGGATCATGGAATACATCTCAACACCACAATATACAGTGGCAATCAATGGAGGATTCTATGGAAATATAAAAGGGAAGAGGGGTCTGAGACAAGGAGATCCAATATCTCCTCTACTCTTTGTAATATATATGGAGTACTTCTCAAGGATAATGAAGCATGTAACACAGATGGAGGGGTTTAGATTCCACACCAAATGTAGAAGCTTGCAGCTGAATCATTTATGATTTGCGGATGATGTTCTTCTCTTTTGCAAAGGGAAAATCCAATCAGTGATGCTATTACAGAGAGGATTACAAACACTCACTAACTCTTCTGGGCTAACAACAAATGCAGGGAAGTCAAATATATTTGAAGTGAACATGGAAGCAAAAGAAATCAAGGATTTATGTGAAATGACAGGGTATAGCAAGGGCAGACTCCCATTCAAATATTTAGGAGTCCCAATTTCCTCAAAGAAGATCTCAAAAGTGGATTGTCAGGTACTAGTTGATAAGATGGCTAACAGAATAAATAGTTGGAGTTCAAGGAATCTATCATATGCAGGTCGAGTGCAAATGATAAATGCAGTCTTGATGCACATACATACGTATTGGGCTTCAATTTTCATACTGCCCAAAGCAGTCTTAAAAAGTATTACAAAAATGTGTAGGAACTACTTGTGGGATGGCAAAGTGGAAACAAATAGAGTGCCCTTAGTAGCCTGGGACCTTGTGTGCCGACCAAAACAGGAAGGAGGAATAGGAATAAAGGACTGTGTAGCATGGAATGAGGCTGTGATAGGGAAATATGTGTGGGATATCACTCAAAAAACTGACTCATTATGGGTCAAGTGGATAAACCATATTTACCTTAAAGATGTAGAATGGTGGAAGTATAAAGCAGCAAATGACAGTAGCTGGTACTGGAAGAAAATATGTATTGTTAGAAACAAACTGGCAACAGGTTATGTAAACAAGGGGTGGCAGTCAAGTATAGGAAAATATACAATAAAAAAAGGATATGAATGGTTGAAAGGGTCCCTAGACAAATATCCATGGAGACGATAGGTATGGAGTAAACAGAACATGCCAAAACACAGCTTCATTTGTTGGTTGACTATGCAGAAGAAGCTGCTCACTAAGGATAGGCTAGGAGTAGAGATGTAAATACTGATGGCCTATGTATGTTGTGTGGGGATAAATAAGAAACTATAGAAAACCTTTTCTATGAATATCAGTTCTCCAGTAGATGTATTGGCATAATATTGGAATGGCTAAAAATCAGAGTCACAAACTTGGAGGGACAGCTATTATGGAGAAGAGTGGCAATGAAGATGGTTGTAAAACTGATCAGAGAGTTTGCATATGCAGCTTTAGCAGCAACCAACTACTATGTATGGAAAGGTAGGAATGAAGCTGTATGGAAGAATTCAGTGCCTAGACCATATAATGTGTGTGAGCAAATCAAGGAAGAATGCAAGGTTCGAATTGTAGAAGTATTAAACAAGAGAATAAAAGGGAAAGATAGAAGATGAATAGAATAAATGTATAGATAGATAGGAAGGAATTGTACAGTTTCATTATATAGGTAGAAGAATAGATAGTTGCTCTATAGATCTCTCTTTGTATTCTTTATGATGTACTGGTTTGGAAATGAATAAAAACTTCATTCCATCAAAACTATTTTTCACTTTTTTCCTTTACTTTATTCAATTTATAGTATAAATTGACTAACATTTTAAGATATATTCTTTGGCTGTTTTGATATGATGAAAATTTCAATTTACACTACTTATCTTGTAGTGTGTAAATTTTTAAAATTTTACTTAGTATGAATCAATACATACCAGTTTTAACTTCAAATATTGATCAGACTATAACTCTTAGATAAATGAAAATAGTAAATAATATATATATATATATATATATTCGCGCATACAGAGTCTTTCTTTTTCCTCAAAGACACACATAGACACTTACTTGAGTTGAGCCTTTAATTATTTTCATTTTCTTTGATCAATTGAAAACAGTGTGTAGGCATATAAATTTTATTGAAATTAAATTCATAAAATAATTTGGACTATATTTTAAATTCAAGATATATTGGTCCAAATAAAGATATGGGCTAATATAATTGAATTAATTATATAAGTCCAATATAAATGGATTAAATAAGTAAGTCTTAATCCATTGGGCTAGCCCATTTAATTGGGCTAGAGTGATGAGCCCACTTCATCAAGCCCAAGATTTCATCTTTCTAGAGGCCTAGTTTGGTGCCACGTGTCAAATGGCGTGGCACGCCAAGTCAAACAAAAGATCCAATAGGATCGTGCCATGTGTCAAAATGACAAGGCATGCCCAGCCATACTAAAAGGCCAATGAAATCGCGCCACGTGTGCAAGTGACATGTTCTGGCCAATCAAATACGGTCACGTCACACTTCAATTTGATTGGTCGGAAAGAGTTTGTTCTTATCATGACTCCTCCCTTCCACAACTATAAATAGGGGTCTTCATAACTCAGAAAAGACACCAGAAGTTATAACAAGAAGCAAGAAAGAGCTCGTGGATCAAACGTTGCAAATTCCTCCACAAGTTTCAAGCTTCAAGTTCAGGTTCAAGAAATCAAGTGCAAGTTAAAGAACGAAGAACAAATCAAGGTCAAGTTCAAGCAATCAAGATCAATCTCAAGAACAAGATCATCATTCAGTTTGGATCAACTAGAGCAAGAATTCCTCAATCGCTTTTATATCACAAGACGCACGGTGAGTATGATAGAGCTTACAAATACTCGTCAACGAAAGGGGGAACTAGTTATCGACTTTATCAATCATTGGAGGAATGCAATCCTCAACTACAAAGACAGGCTTAGTGAAGTTTCAGGCATATAGATGTGCATCCAAGGCATGCATTGGGGATTGCACTACATCTTGCAAGGTATCAAACCTAGAACATTTGAAGAACTTGCAACTCGTGCCTACGACATGGAATTGAGCATGGCCTCCACTGGAAATGAAAGGCTACCCATCTATGAACCTCGCAATGCGAATGATAAGCAAGAAGTCAGGAAGTGGGGCAAGTTCGTACCCAAGTCTGAAAGCAAAGAAGCTATGAATGTCAAAACGTCACCTATGCACCCGGCAAGCTCCCAGAAGTTCTAGAGAGTGACTCTCCTCCAAAACAAGCAGCATCCACTAAGGCTATCCCTGTCTCATCTGAAGGGATGATTCCAATCAATCAACTGAAGGAGTTCATCGAAGGAACCATTAAGAACAAATATGAAGTTGCTGCCAAATCCTCTCTTACATATGCAAAGCCATACACTGCAAGGGTAGATATGTTGAAGATGTCTGCTGGTTATCAACCTTTGAAGTTTCAACAGTTTGATGGTAAAGGTAACCTAAAGCAACATGTTGTGCACTTCATGGAGACGTGCAATAATGCTGGGACTTATGGAGATTACATCATCAAGCAGTTTGTCCGCTCGCTAAAAGGAAATGCTTTTAACTGGTACACAGACCTCGAGGTTGGATCTATCGACAGCTGGGATCAACTAGAGCAAGAATTCCTCAATCGCTTTTATAGCACAAGACGCACGGTGAGTATGATAGAGCTTACAAATACTCGTCAACGAAAGGGGGAACTAGTTATCGACGTTATCAATAATTGGAGGAATGCAATCCTCAACTACAAAGATAGGCTTAGTGAAGCTTCAGGCATATAGATGTGCATCCAAGGCATGCATTGGGGATTACGCTACATCTTGCAAGGTATCAAGCCTAGCACATTTGAAGAACTTGCAACTCGTGCCTACGACATAGAATTGAGCATGGCCTCTACTGAAAATGAAAGGCTACCCATCTATGAACCTCGCAATGCGAATGACAAGCAAGAAGTCAGGAAGTGGGGCAAGTTCGTACCCAAGTCTGAAAGCAAAGAAGCTATGAATGTCAAAACATCACCTATGAAGTTAACGACGAAGGTGAGCAAGAAGCAGAGTATGAAATCCATTTATTTTCAAGACAAGCCAAGTGGAAAGTTGACTCTAAAAGAAATGCAAGAAAAAGAGTACATATTCCTGGATTCTGATGTGCCAGCCATTTTCGAAGAACTCCTCGAGTTAAATCTCATTGAGCTTCTGAAGATGAAGCGACCAAATGAAGCTGGAAAAACAAATGACCCAAAATACTGCAAATATCATCGACTTGTAAGCCACCCTCTGGAGAAGTGCTTTGTCTTAAAGGATAAAGTCATGGATTTGGCTCGCAAAAAGAAGATCGTGCTTGAAGATGAGAAAGCAAGCGCAAACCAAGTCTCTATCACCTTTGGCTCATTCAGTCCGGATGACTTATGTGGTTTTAAAGAAAGTAAAGATGAAGAATTACTAGAGAGCGACAAAGCTGAAGTCAATCAATCTGATGATGATGAATGTTGGACATTGGTGACTCGTCGTAGGCACCACAAAAGGAGACCTGCAAATAATCAATAGAACAACAATAAGGAAGATGATGGTAAAAAGACCAACGAAAAAGAATCCAGTTAGGCATTTGAAAAAAGCAAAAGTGGAGATGCACCATTCTCAAAAGCCACGAAATCCAGTGACCTTGGAGGAGTTTTTACCAAGTTGGTTCCGCACAAAGATTTCTCATAAGGGCATTGATGCCTCTTGTTGCCATGCTGATAAAGGGGAAGAAAAGAGTGATGACCTACCATTGGCACCATCTTCGGAAAATCCCATCGAGTCCACTCCTCAAGAAGTTAATGCTTGTGAGGAAAAGGTCACGTTCACAAATGACAATCTTTTGCTAGGTGACACTCCTCATAACCGCCCATTTTACCTGGTTGGCTATATGCGCGATGAAAGGGTAAATCGGATTTTGGTTGATGGAGGATCCTCAGTGAACATTTTGCCAATCCACACTTTGAAATAACTTGGTATTCCCATGAACGAACTCTCAGAAAGTTGTGTGATGATCCAAGGATTCAACCAAGGGGGGAAAAGAGCCATAGGCGCGATCAGGCTGGGAATCACTATTGAAGATATGCAATCAAGTGCATGGCTGCACGTGATCGACACGAAGACTTCATACATGTTTTGCTTGGGAGGCCTTGGATACATAAGAATAAAGTAGTTCCATCTACCTACCATCAATGTTTAAAATACTACGAGGGTGAAGTCGAGAAGATGGTAGTGCTGATGATGATCCATTCACCGAGGTTGAGTCACACTTTGCTGATGCAAAGTTC